CTGTCTTCTCAGGGCATAACACCTGTCTTTTCAGGCTTTTTTCTGAAATCTGGATGGAAATTCACATGACCCCAAAATTCTTGAATTCTGTGGTCACACTCCTTTGTATCATGGCTTTAAAATTCTGGATGCCTGCCTCAACACTGTGAAATTGATCCCAACTTGGGGAACAAATTTCCTAGGAGCAGAAGCATGAAGACAAGCATGGAGACTTAGGGCTCTTTTCTCAAAGCATCATCTGTCTTTTGCAATTTTTGAGACTGTAAAGGGGCTGGGGGAGTTGCTGCTTCCTCACATAGTCTCAGGCTATTTTTTTCTATTGTCCTGATCCAATTTGCAGCTTTTTTTTTTTGAGAACTGGGGATAGAACTGAGGCCCTTGCACTTGCCAGGCAGCGCTTATTCTACTGAGTTATCTACCCTGGCCCCAATTTGCTTCTTTTTAACGTTAATCTTTTCAGCAGCCAACTATCCTCTTCCAATTTTACAGGCCCCAACTTCATAGGAGAGCTTCTTTTCTGGTGAAGCTCAAAACTTAAAAAACCATGTGGTTGTACTGTTTGTTCAATTCTCACTATAAAACTGACTAAAAGCAACCAACAGTATACATGTCCCAGCCTGAATATTAGGGTCCCTTAAAATTTCCTCTACCAGGTTAGTCTCCTGCCCTTTATGTCAGTGTCTTGCAAATTCTCAAGACATAAGCCAAATGTAGACACATTTTCTGCTTGGAGTCCATATGTCAATGGACTCCTTTTTCTCAACTGAAAACATCCTGAACTTACTCTTATTTTTTTTTCCCGTAATTTTATTGAGAAACAAATAGCAATGAGACAGTTTCAAATCAAATTGGTAGGACAGTTTCAATAATTAACACATTGCATACATTCTTCCTAGTGGTTAATTGCTGTACAAGATGCAGACATGATACCTACTTACAAACACTATTAGAACAAATACCTCTATTCATTAAGAGAATGTAACTATCTATCCTAACCATTTTGAATACACAGATACAAAATGGACATTTATCTGTATCCCTTTTTTTGTTAAGTTCAGTTATTTGAATATTATAGGTGTGTTAACTCAGCAAAATATTCTAAAAGAGTCCAGTAGTCCATAATAGTATTGGGTCTTCTGCTTCACTGGCAATGTCAGAAATTGTTGACCTGAGTCCCCTACAGCTCAACATAACAGCATGGCTTTACTTCTTATACTTCGTTTTTATACTTTTCTGCTGGATGGTTAAGACCAAGATAAAGCAGGACCTATGCAACAAGAGTTGTAGCTTTTGGGTCTGATAAGGTCAGTGAAATTCCCTCAGGATTTATCCTGAGATCCTGTACCTCAGATTGTAGATCCTTTGTCAGTGTCAGCCATGTGGATGAGTCACGGCCATTGCTTGGCCAATGTGCTCTCTGTGAAAGCCTGAGAGAATGTTTTCTCTCCATGTGACTTTCCTTAGGCACACTCTACATCATCGATCACTTTCCTCTTTGGCCCCATAATCTCCTTGATCAGAAAATTTGGGACACTGCAGAGTTACATGACGCTACAGTACAAGTTCTCATATGTCCTGAGTCTTAATTGACCTTGGAAGGCTAGGGCCAAAATGTTGGCTTTCCTTGCAGCCTTCTTTTTTCTCTAATTTTGGTCTGCAAACTTAGGTTAACCATCCAGAAGACAAGCTTATTGTTATTATCAAATGATTTAGGCTATGAAGCTTAACCTCACTATCTGTCTGAATATCAAACATCTTAGGCATAACATGGAACAGGTATATCTTATCAAGTATTGATATGCTGAACTTTAAGTCACTCTTTACTTTTTACCAGCATTCTGATATTCTGGATCAAGTTTAGCTTTTAGGATCCTAGAGCTGCTTCTCCAGCTGGCATCTCCAAATCTTTCCAGATTCTTCCTGAAAACCATTTCTAAAGGCTTCTTAAATACATGCTCAGGGGGCCGGGGAGATGGTTCAGTGGAATAAGCGTTTCCTTGGCAAGGGCCTGAGTTCAATCCCGGTTCTGCAAAAACCCCCCCCCAAAAAATGCTCAGATAGTGTTGATATAAGTAAATTAATGTAATTTCCCACTTGCTAGATGTCTGCTATGATGAGTTTGTGTTTGCCAAAAATCAAAGAAAAAAAAATTTTTTTTTTGATACCTCTAATCTCAACTCAGGACCTTGCGCTTGCCAGGCAGGTACTGTGCCAGAGATCTATATCCCTGGCCAGAAGAATGAATTCTAAGGAACAAGGGAGGTTAAATGTAGAAAATTTTATTGAGGTTGGACAGATGTTGAGACAGAAAGGGAACTGGTAAGTGGATTGCAGTGAAAATCATGAATGGGTACAACATGGGACAAAAATATGATCAACCTATATGGTTATATCTGCTCAGGTGATATTATTCTAATGAGTAAGCAAGTCACATAGCAAGTGTACAAGGAAGGAACTAGGATCTTTATTTGGAAGAGATTAGTCAGGAAGTACTGCTCACTCACTTGGGTGATTGATGCCTATTTAGAATATCAATGATGGTAAGTGTATTTTTTAATCCCTCAGGAAGGCATGTAGGCCCATTCTATCCTTAGCTTGATGCCTGGCCTCCAACAAATGTGCCTCTGGCCACAGTTCTAATGTATTCTTATCTTCTGCACTGAGTCCTTCCAGGGGATAGCTCTGTCTGACTCCCTATAATATTTCTACCTAAGTTACCTGTCTGTAATAGTGTCAAAGCAACATCACCACTTCTCTCATATGCAAATCTGTTTCTTTGTCACTGTGATGCAATACCTAACACCTACAACTTAAAGGAGAGATTTATTTTGGTTCATGTTTCTATCCATAGTTAGCTAGCTCCAAGGCAAGACAACAAGGCAGAGGGACATAGCCAGAGGAGAAGCTGCTGAGGGCATAGCAGACAGGAAGCCGTAAGAGAAAGGGGAGCTGTGGAGATCTCAGGGAGCTGGGGAGAGATACACAGGCCACACCTTCAGTGATTCACTCGTCCAATTAGGCCCTATCTCCTAACACATTCAGATAGAAACTCATTGGTACACTCATCCACAGGAAACTTTAGGGGGACATCTAGATATAAACCATAATAAATGTGTATACAAAAACATATAGGATTTTTCATAAAAGCATTATTCCTAATAGGTAAAAAGTAGAAATGATCCAAATGTTAATCAACTGATGAATAAGTAAAATGAGGTAAGAATCTGGGAGTATAGTTCAATTGGATAGTACTTGCTTAATATGCATGAAGTCCTAGATGTTCTCTCCAGTACCAAAAGACCACCAATCCAAAATAAAATATTCAACAATAAAACGTTACATGTATATTTGACAAAAAGGAAAAGTCCTGGTGTGGTGACACATGTATTAGTTCCAGTACTCAGGAAGCTTAACCAGTAGGACTGCTGTGAGTTCAAGGCCAAGCTGGGCTACATAGTGTGCTCAAGGCTTCCTTTATCTTTTAAGTTTTTGAGATAAGGTTTTATAGTGCTGGGGGAGGAAAAAAATGGGGGCTGGAGAGTGACCGCAAACAAGCAGATTCGTGTTGATGGAAAGGTTCTCAATTTGTGGTGATGATTGTACTACAAACCAATGGAAAAAATGAAAACAACAAATCAATCCCATGTGTGCTTTAAAATGAATTATAGCCTAAAGAAAATTTAAAGTTGGGCATTGTGGCACATGCCTATGTCCCTGCAATAGGACTTGAGTTTAAGGCAGGGTAGTTTCTTCTTCCTTTTTGAGAGAAAGGAGGCCTATTACCACCTCTAAAGGCCTCGCTTTGAAAAAAATGCTGTATTAAATTGTTAAAACAAATGATGAAGCCACTGTGCCATGCTGCTTTCAGAGCTGGTGTAGATTCTGGTAAAATCCTATCTACTTTCATCTATTTGTCGCATTTTAATGCTGTCAAACTTGAAATGTGTTATAGTAGGAGAAACCCTGTTCTCCTGTCTTTTAGGTTTGCCTGATTACTTCCAACAATAAATCTGGATCCACACTGCTTCACGTGATGAACACTGCCAAATTGCAATAAAAACATTTAGGGGTGTGTGTATGCGTTGTTCGAAACTGACCCTCAGGTCCTTGGGCATAGAGTTAGGTTTTCAGCTCTTTATTGTTACTCTATTTTATATTTATTATTTTGGTGTACAGGACATTGAACCCAGGGGGCTCTCCCCATCCCTTTCTATTTTTGACGCAGGGTCTCACAAATTGCACAGGATGGTCTTAAACTTGGGAATCTTCTTGCCCTAGTCTTCCAAGTGGCTTATCCGGCTTTATAATGTTTTGCACTCCCGGGATTCAACTGAGGCCACAGCACTGAGCTACAATCTCAGTCCTCTTTAAACATTAATTGTTTTTTTTTTTTTCCGGACGCCCGAACATGCCTTTAGGGCATTTCTGGTTTGCCTTGACTATCTGGGTTCGAACCTTGATCTTGAGGGCTTTGTTTCAGCAGGCACTTAAACAACTGAGCTATTGGGCAGGCCCCTCGTTAATTTTTTTTTTGAAACGGGAACTCACTAAAGTCGCTAAATTGCCCAGGCTGGGCAAAGACTCGCTATCCTCTTGCTTCAGCCTCTCAGGGCGTAGGAATTACAGGTATCACCACACCTGGCTTTTAGTTTGACTTTTAAACAGCTAAAGTGGTAACAGGTGGGCAGGAGGGCTGGCCAAATTAAGTGAAGAGGTGTCAACTGTGGAATCTGAGAGCACATTTAAAAAACCGAGGGAGAGGCTGGAGCAGAACAGTACGTAGGATTTTCAGGCTCACCTTTCCCCTTCAGAGATTACCTCAGCGGGGGCGACAGGAGCCCCAGAACGCTCTCCTCCCTCGGTGTGGAAGCCGTTCCCGGCGGCCGGCCTGGGACCGCGAGGGGCGGAACCCCAGCGCGCGGGCCTCTCCGCCCCGCCCCGCAGATCACGCCGTCCGCGCTAGTGGGCGGGGACGGGGCGGGTCCGCAGAGTTCGGCGATTGTGTCGGGAGGCTCCGGGCGGAGCCCGGGGCGTGAGCCGCGTGGAGCGCAGGGACCCCGCAGGGAGCGTCGGCGCCACACGCGGAGACCCCAGGGGCGCGGGGCGGGGATTTCCCAGTCCCCGCCCAGTTTCCCCGCCCTTCCCCGCCTCCTGCACGCCCCTCCCCCTCCTCCCCTCTGGTTGGAAAGTTTCTAGAATCTCTTCCCAGCGGCCTTTGCGGTTCCAACATGGCGGAGCTGACGGTGGAGGTTCGTGGCTCCAACGGGGCTTTTTACAAGGTATTGACCCTTTTCCCGCGTTGTCTGGTGTTGTAGGGGTTGGTGTGAGTTGGGAGGAGTGTTGATATTACTGGAGGGTGAACTTGGGGGTCGAAAGGGCGGCCGGGCTGACCCCAGAGGCCTCAGGCGTCCTCGCTTCTCCCCCCTCTACCCGCGGTTTAACGGTCTCAGGGGCCCCGGCTCCGTTATGTTTTGAAACAACTCGTCGGACACCTCTTGCTTTTTCCTTTCTAGTGACCCGTTTTCTTGAGCGGTAGGCAGGCTTTGGCGGGCCTGTGAGGAGTGGCCGAGTGGTTGCTGGGTGGCGGGGAGCTCCCCAGGAGCAGGCCTGGGCGCCTGGAGGTGGGGGCGCGGGGATTGTGCGGTCACTCCCGCTCTCCGCCCCCTTGGCCGGGCTTAGCGGGGGGCGCCTCGGGCCGCTGCCCCGAACTCTTCCCCACCCCCTGAGGGAGGGCTTCGCGGAATCTTAGGAATTTACCTTTGTGTTGTTAGGTTTTGGGAGCTAGAGATATTTCGTAGCCGAAGGGTAAGCTGGGACGTACTGGATTGAGGTTTAGGATCGGGAGGAGAAAAGTAGGTAACCTGGAAAGGTGCCAGCGGGTCGAAATATTTTTTTACGGCCTGGGAAGTTGGGCGGCGCCTTATCCTCTATTAGGGAAGGCGAAACTTCTAAAGTAAGGTTTAAAATGGGAAATGAATCAGGCTGGCAGGTGGAGAGGAGACTAGTTTCTTTATATTCAGTTATTCTGTCAGGTGTTTTTAATTTTTCCACGAGGTTCTTGTTTTCTTTGGGAGAAAGATGCATTACTGTGGAACCATGCTGGCAAACGAAAGAGGAATTCTAAGGTACAGGAATTTGTTAGGGGCTTTCATTGTAAGGGGAGGGGTGTCACATAACTCAAAATGAAATCCTCAGAGTTTTATTTTTTGCCATTATAACAATCTCTTGGATTCTTTCTCCCAAAGTATGTCCTGATGTTACGAAATCAATACAAAATCTTCACAGCTGTTGTCTGTCAGTCAATCTCACTAAGCCAGGATCTCAGATGTTTGAGAGTCTTGGCTATTTATATGAAAGGCCTTCTTCTAATACATGAATACTGTTTTGTGTTCACACAGAATGATGTTTCAAAGTTTTTTTACTTCAGATTTTATTCTATGGGATTAACGTATTCGGTAGTTCCAATTTCTAGCGTTTTGTTTTTGTTTTCTTAGTTTGCTGATCAGCTCTGTGGATTTGGTATAAGTGTCACGCGGTAATAGTATAGTGGGAAATCACAGTTTGCAGAGTATACAGGCTTCCGGTAAGCTTTTTACAATTTTAAATATTTTGCCTGTTGGAAGAGTCTTTAGTGTGACTTACTAATGTGTAACTAGTTACATTAACATTGTAGGTTTAAAATGTAGGTGTCATACAAAGGATCTGTGTGAAATTTTAGCAGACACTATACCTATTATGGTTTTTGTGGTATTCTTTCTAGTACCGAGAGTCGAACTCAGGACATTGGGCTTGCTAGGCCGGCCCTGTGGCGCTGAGCTATATGCCTGGTCCGTGAGACTGTTCTGTTGAAACTGTGGTTTCTTTTCCTGTGAGACTGTAGGTGATAAGGTTAACTATCACACAAGGAGTGGACTTATTTTCTCATACGATTCTTACGTAGGATAGAAAGGTAAATTTTATTTTGCATCTTAAACCCCTGAAAAATTCCAGTTCTTTTTGACTCTGCAGTTTTTGTGTAACAGAAATATGCATGATTCACTTACATATTGAAAAAACAGATAATGGTCATTATGTTTTAACAAATTATTCCATATTATGTAGATAGTTAGAAAACCATGTCGACGTTATGTTGGTATAGTATACTAAATCTTTAAATGAAAGTAGTTTTCATTTATTTGATAATTAAGCTGTTTTAGTAAAGATTGTGTACAGTCTTAGTTTAGTTTGGTTTTGTTTTTGCCCCCACCCTGCCCCCATTCACAATAAGTCAAACGTCCCAATATTGGAACACTGAATGTGTAATATTGATCTCTCTTTCTACTTTACAGATCTGCTTGCTTCTACTTAGCATTGACTTACAAATTTCACTTTAAAAAGTGAAGTGGTGGTTTGGCAGAGTTTGAGGAGGACACATTTAGCCACATTTGTATGTTAAGTTTATTTAAATATTTGAAATTTTGACCTAACAACCACTTGTTTTTCTTTTTTTTTTTCCTTGTCTTTTTGAGACGGGGGTCTCACTGTGCGGTTCAGGCTGGCCTTGAGCTCACTTTGTGGGCTGGTCTAGAACTCCAAGCCATCCACCTGCCTTAGCCTTTCGAGTGCTGGGATTATAGGTGTGTGCCACCATGCCCAGTCCTGACATCCTACTTGTGTATGCACTTTGTGGAAACTAGTCTTTAAAAAAACATAGCCTTCAATGCTGAGGAATAATGAGAATGAAAAATGAGCCCTAAATTTGAAGTGAATGACAAATGTAGATATGTACTTTAACATATCATCTTGCAATGAACCCTTGAGCAAGTTTCTTTTAATCTATTTTCATGTGTGTAAACTGAGAAATTTGAAGTAGATCAGTAGTCCTTTTTTTTTTTTTCCAGTGAAATTGTTCTTCTGGAAAAAATAGGCTTGACAAAGAAGCAATTTATTTTTAGTCACTTTGAGTTTTTATTTTTAAATTGAGGTTTATACTGTGTATAGTCAGTCTCGCTAGCTTGGTTTGTTACTGAAGTTAGTCTTAACTTTTAATTCTCCTGCCTAAACATAGCAGGGATTACAGGCAACCACTGTACCTGGTGTGGAATATGTTTTTTAATGTTGTGAGCTTTGATAAATGCTGCTATTTGTATAACCACAACCCTACCACTGTCATGGTGAGAGAGTACAATACTTTGCTATCCTGATTTTTTTTTTTGTGTGTGTGTGGGTATGGGTGGGTGGTACTGGAAATTGAATTCAGGACCTCACCTCACGCTTTTCAGCCTGGCGCTGCCCCCTTGAGCTAAATCTCCAGCCTCATCCTCCAGTTTGTTTTTATGCTCCTAGCCACATTTTGTGTCCAAGCTGCTAAAGTAGTGATGGCGGATCTATAGCACATGTGCCACAATGGGCTGTTTGTATTGTATCATGGGAACCTCTTAAAAAGTGCTAGACAGAGTGTTTACTGTCTTCATATTTTGTTTTGCCTGGAATGCTATACTGTGCATAGGATCACACAGTATACGGTGTGATATTTTGGGTTAAGGTTCTTCCATGTAGCATAGGAGCAATGAAATTTTTTTCTAATTAGAAAATAATGCATGATCAATGCGGGAATTATGAAAGTGAAGCAAAATATTAACCTTTAACATTTTGATGGCTATTTCTTTTTAGTCATGTTTTTCCATATGAGTGAGTTTTAAAACATTTTTCTTTTTTTTTTTTTGGCGGAACCGGGGATTGAACTCGGGCCTTTGCACTTGCCAAGGAAGTGCTTATTCCACTGAGCCATCTCCCCAGCCCTAAAAAATTTTTCTCTTCCCCTCTCTCCTTACAAACTTGTACTTGGCTGTGAGTGAATTATCCTTATTTGAGTTGAGCATCTTCATCCTTTGAAGTATTTAGCTAATAATATATCTTGAGGCAGTGTTCTGTAGGCTGTGTTTATTTTTTTTATTTATTTTTTTTTAATATTTATTTTTTTTGTGTGTGTGTGTGGCCAGCTCAGCCCACCAGGGGGCGGGGCTGGCTGGCATGTGGTGCTGGGGGATTGAACCGTGGTCCCTGTGCTTTGTTTAGCTTAGTTTGTTCTAAGTAGGTGCCTTAGACCACTGAGCCATCTCACCAGCCATGTAGGCTGTGTTTAAATGAACTGAATTACCATTCCACAAAGTAAGATCCATCAAAGAGCTGAATATTTGAAGATTTTACTAAAAATTAGGGTAATTGTTTTTTACAAAACTATATAAATGAAAATGTGCTAAATGTACTGTTCTGCATACTTTTAAAAAATAACTGATTTGTAGTTATTGCAGAGATATGTCTGCAGTACAGGAAAGGATGGAAAAATGTTAAACGTGGTAGGCTGTAATTTTTTACATTAAAAAATGTAACTGGTTACATGCTTTTCCTACTTTCAAACAGCATCTTAAGGCCTAATATTGGGTAAGATTGAACACAGGATCTTAGCACTGAGCAACACTCCCAGCCCCATTTATTTACTTTTTTATTTACTTATTTTTGGTATTGGGGATGGAATTTAGTACCTTGAACTTGCTAGTCAGGTAAGCTGCCACTGAGCTATTCCTCGGCCCTAATAGTTCTTTTATTCTTATTTTTAAATTTTTTATTTTTTTTGGTGGAACCGGGGATTGAACTTGGGCCCTTGCTCTTGCCAGGGAAGTGCTTATTCTGCTGAGCTTTCTCAACGGCCCTTTCTAATATGGAAGGGTCTATAGGGTGTTCAGGGTGTCATTACTAGATTGGACTCGTAGTGATCCGCCTATTTTACAGCCCCCCCCAAGAGCTGAGATTACAGGTGCATGCCTCCATGCGCAGGCTCAGTTGACCTCTCAGCTTGCACCAGGGGTGGGGCTGCCATGGCAGGTCTAGGGATTCCAGTCAAATCCCTGGCCCCTGCGCTTGCTTGCATGCAAGCGCTTTAACCCACTGAGCTATTTGGCCAGCCCAGTTATTTCTTATTTGGAATAAGGATTTTTTTTTTTTTTGGTTCCTCGAATGCCTTCAGGGCACTTTTGTTTGGCCAGCAGGAGAGGTGTGAGGTTCGAACTCCAGCAACCTGAGGCTGACAGCTTTGTGGAAGCAGCCACTTAAAGGCCTGAGCTAGGGCCAGGCCCCCAGTTATTTCTTATTTGGAACAGTCTCACTAGGTTGCCCAACTGTCCAGGGTGGGCTCAGACTTGGTACACCTCCAGCCTGTTTGTTTGTTTCTCCCCCCCCCCCCCAACTGGGGATTGAACTCAGGCCCTTTTACTTGCCAGGGAAGCACTTATTCCACTGA